AATTCAGTGGATGAAATATGGGCATTAGCTACACAACCAGGTGTGCTAATGTACTGTGCTGTATTTCCTTGAAGATCATTCTTATTTGCCTTGCTGATATATCATTTTTTTGATGTTCCACTCTTTGTTTTGCAGCTTTTCTTTTGTACACTGCATCAGCAGTTGCAATAACATTGGTACTAGTCTTGTATTGTGAGCCTCGCTATGGTCGGACAAATATTATGGTCTATATTGGTGTTTGCTCCATCTTTGGGTCCTTGACGGTTAGTGCCTCTATTGTATTGATCTATATCCCTACAGAGTCTGTACTTCTACTCAAGAATTAAGAAAGCGAAGGAAGGAAGGGAAGAAACATGTGTCACAACCGTGCTTTAGTTTGTAGCTCTGAACTGACTGAGTTAACCTTGAAGCTAAATTGACAGTTTGCAAGACGCCTTATCTTTTAAACTTAACGTTATCCAAATTCTATCTTTCTCCTTGGTGTTGGAATAGCATAATTTGACCACTAAATGGATCATATTTTTTAAGTTGTGAAGAGTCAAACTGGTCCTGGGTCCTTATCCATTGCTAGTTGTCACTGAAGTAAAAGAAAACTTCTCATTTAGGTATAAATGGATGTATGGAACTTGAAATATTACTCCAGAGCTTTAGGGTGCTGTAACGTGTTTGCATGCTAGTAGATGTCTTTTCCTGCCACTATACTTGTACAAGTGACTATACTTTGATCTGTTATAATTTATAAGGCATCCAGGGTTGCTGTTGTTTTTCCTTGACTAGTAGGTGTGTAACTCAATAAAAGATTGCAGTGCTATTACTTTATTTTATTAGTTTTTGTCTTTTACATAAATTTAAAATAAGTCTAAGTTGCTAGTTGAAATAAGCTTTTATCTAGTCATTGTTAGTTCGAGGTCGAGTTATTTTATGACTTCTTTATCAATCGAATTCACTATCTTTTGAATAATACTCATGTATTTTGCTTAAAAAACTCGATAAATAACAGTTTATGAATTGGTTCCTCTCTTAATTTTTTTGTATTAATTGAGCTACTATTGCAGTTCTCTTTGCCGAACTGACTTAGAGAGAGTGCTTCTGTTGCCAATGAAATATGATAAAATTATTCCTCATGAGAAGTAAAGAAAATATAGGAACTAGTCCTTCTCATAAGTACAATTGGTAAAAATTGCATGTAGCAGTCATTTTAAGTTTGTTTGTTGCTCTGTTGTAGGTTATGAGCATCAAAGCTATCGGTATAGCTATAAAGCTTACATTGGAGGGTTCAAACCAAGCTGCAAATTTTCAAACTTGGGTGTTTGTGATGGTTTCTGTTACATGTATAATTACTCAACTAAATTACTTAAATAAGGTAGACTTTCTACTTCTCCTTATAGTATGTAGCAGTGTTTTAAAAGGCGGGGGTGTGAGGCGAGGCGCTTTATACAGTATGGGGCGAGGCGTAAGCCCCGAGACACGGGGCGTAAGTCCCATGGATCTATGGGGCGTAAGTCCCATAAATCTACGGGGCGTAGTCTCATGTATATTCAATTTTATAGTTTTATTACTAATAAAATAAGCAAAAGTAAATCTTTCAATGATTTTTACAAATAATTTTTTTATAAATAACCTATAATATATAGAAATTATATTTATTTGAGATAAATATTAATAATCAATAATGAAGAAAAAAAGTATTAATAATTACTATTTGAGAAATATCATTACACCAATAATAAAATATATGATTTAAAGCAAAAAAGGTTTAAAAAAAATTAAAAACGCCCGGGCCTACGTTTTTACGCCCAGGAATTACGTTTTTATGCTCGAGGCTTATGCCTCAAATTTTAGAACTTACGCCTTATGGATCTACGTCTTTGATTTACATTCCGGAGCGTTTTTGGTACGCCCTGCCCTGAGACTCGCCCCAAAAACGTTTTTGAAAACACTGGTATGCAGTGATGTTTGAAGTCTGAGAGTACTATTAGAGGGCTCATTTGGTGTGAGGGATTAGAAATAATAGTGATGGGATAAGGAAATAATGATGGGATAAAAAAAAAATTATGTTGTTTGGTTGGCAAGTCCGGGATAACTTATCCCGGGATTAATAATTAGTACCGGGATAAGTTATCCCTCCCCATGGGTGGTATAGTAATCCCGGAATAACTTATCCCGAGATAAAATAGGTAAATGACAAATATGTCCCTTTAAATCCTTTTTATACATCATTTTTTACATTTATGTATATTTACACTTTTTTTAATACCATGTATAATAATATTTACTACTCCTTATTTTTATGATAATTATACATATTTTTCTATTAAAAAATTATACTATATAAATATAATTTTTATTTATGAATTATTTTGACTAATTCTTATGTTTATTTTATTTTGATTTCTCATAAATTTTCTTCTCTTTAATAAACTTAAGAGGGAAGTTCTATTTTTAAGCTAAATAAGAAAAAAAGTTATTTTTTTAAATACACATGGTACTTATCATGGGAATACATAAACAAAAATATTTAAGTTAAATAAAATAAAAGTTTTATTTTAAAAAATGAATAACTAAAGCTCACAAAGAAATATTTAAAAAGTTTAAATAAAGTGAAGGGTAATTTTGTAAACAAACAACTTGTTCTTAAAATTTATCAATATATATTATTTTGAATATAACAAACCAAACACTCAATAAGAAATAATCCCAGGACAACTTATCCCATCATAACTAATCCCAACATAACTTATCCCAACATAACTTATCCCATCATAACTCATATTCAAACCAAACGACCCCTTAGAATTATGCTTTTGGACTACAGTAACTTTGTTTAGCTGTGTTGTTTTTGAATAAATCTTAGTTAAAGTTTGTTAGCTAGCTAGCCTTAATTTCTAGTAATTAGTTTCTCCCGTTTATGTGATATTAGTTTGACTTGGCACAACATTTATGCAATATGAGAAGACTTTGCAATGTTCCAAAACTACCCTTAAAAGAAATGAATTTTTAAATAGAAGAATACACTTTTGTGGACCTTTTGCCAAATAAGTGTGACCCAGCATGGGTAAAATGTTGATAATGTCATTAAACATTTGCCAAATAAGGAAATGTGTCATTTTGTTGTGACTTGTGACTGACTAAAAAGTAAAGTATGCCATATTAACTGGGATAGTGGTGAAGGCAAGATATGATTGTATGAAGATACTCCAGGCTAGGATAATGATCATATTTTTACTGTTTTTTATTTCAAGTTCCCCGTAAATGTAGAGTAAGCTGAATAAAAAAGTTCCCTTTGATAGCATTGCAGCATTTTCCTCTCAGTCTTGCTCTGTTATTTTCCAAAATTTCTCTGCTAAAAACCAACAATTAGTAAAAGAGCATTTTTCAACGCTCCTCTTATTAAATTGCCCATACACTAGATCTCCATTCTTGGGCGTGAGGTAGTGTATGAAGAGATCTTTTTAATATGGCTTGAACAATTCTCACCACATGGGTGATCTCTTGAGCTATCTTTTGAGGTTGAGTAAGACCCAAGATCCATTTCTTTTTACAAGTACAATTGTAATTGGAAAACTTATGAACTGACACTCATTGGCATTTGTTCAAATGCTTGAGCTAATATTTACAGGGATTACTATAGAAACTACATGTTATTGAATCTTGGCTTAGACTTGTATTGTAAATTGGACAAATGCCTGAATTTGACTCTTGCAGGCATTGGACACATTTAACACTGCTGTGGTTTCTCCAATATATTATGCCATGTTCACATCACTTACAATTTTAGCCAGTGCCATAATGTTTAAGGTATTCTGAAAGTTTATGTTCGGGATGCAAGGAGGCCTTCTCTCATTTTCATTTCTAATGTCATGTCTTTCTCTCAGGATTGGTCTGGTCAGAGTGTTAGCAACATAGTTTCAGCGCTTTGTGGCTTTTTAACTGTGCTCTCTGGTACATTGGTTCTTCATAGTACAAGAGATCCAGACCCTCCTCCTAGTAGTACAGGTATTTACACTGAGCTTGATCAGAAAAATCCATGTGCCTTATCATTCTAGTCTGTGCAACAATGCAAAAAGGTTACACATACTGACTATTGTGATAAAAGTTTTAGGTGATACTTGATAACCCTCTTTGTTGTTATGAAGTAGTAATAGGTGTGGATAAACTTAGGTGATACTTGATAACTCTCTTTGTAGAGCATTAATAGAAGACTTATCATAGTCTAGACATTCTAAATGTATATATTCTTGTTTGTTGCAGTTCTTGCAACCAGAAATTTGTTGCTTTTGGGCACGTCTTTGATTAGTTTAAATATCATATATTACTTGCAGATTTGTACGCACAACTTTCCCCTCAAATATCATGGTTAATACATGCCAACGGAGAAATATGGAAGCAGAAAGAGGACAGTTTGCATTCAGAGTTTGTTGCAATAATCAGGCAGGATCATTTCAAGTAGCGCAAAAGAACTTAAATGATTGGTTGGAGGCACTTCTCTATGGCTGTTCATTTCCGTCCAAAAAAAATAGGTGTGCCAGATTTTGGATTTTCCGGTCATCTCCCCTTTATCAATTTCAGCTTGAGAGTGTTTTCTGTTTTTATTCTTTTGGTGAGATGTCTGATATCTGTTGATTATTCTCGGCCATTTCTATGACTCAATTTTTCAGCCTAGTTTGTAGATTTCTGGGTTTGGTGGGAACCTAGATGTAGTATAGTGGGTAAAAAAAATGGTAGATTAGTATTCTGTTGATAAATTGTTCTGTACGCGAAGAACAGTCTTGAGCAAGGCAATGATAGTTCGAGTATTAACATTTCTGTTCCTTTGTGTTGTGTACAATAACTTGTGGAATGGACACAGGAAGAAGCCAGTGTTGCATTTGTTAACTTAAAAGGCATGGAATTGTAGACATTTTCACCATACAATACAATTATGAAATGACAGGAAACAGAAATCTAGATAGGCTATAAAAGATACAATTAGCCAAAACTTGGCTAACTTTCTGCCATCTTCAACCACATTTGGCTAATGGTCCACCGCAGAGATGTCTGTTTCCTCCATATTCAAAATCAGACAATCCTGAAAATGGTGGTATTTTACCAGAAAGATTATTGTTGGCCACGGAGAGCACCTTAAGCCTCGTTAATCGAGAGATTTCTGGTGGAATATTTCCAGAGAGTTTGTTGTTATTGAGCATCAACTTGTTCAGGTAGGTGCAGTTTCCAAGTTCAGCAGGTATAGAGCCGGAGAAACTGTTGTTGGACAAGTCGAGGTTTACTAAAAAAGGAGTCCAGCTACAAATCTCCGAAGGAATGGGACCGGAGAACTTGTTACCAGAGAGATCAAGAGAAGTCAAAGAGGAGCAATATTTGAAGGCATCTGGGAGCTGTCTACTGAGATTCATGTTTGGAAGTGAGAGGCTGAGCACCCGATTCTCGAGGTCGTTCCAGCAACCGACACCAATGAACTTGCAGATAAACCCCATGGAGTAGTTTGAGAAGTTCCAAGAATTCAAATTTCCATTAGGATCCTTAAATGAGTCCTTCAGTCCTTGCAAACACCTAATATCATCTGATGCAGTAACATTGTGAAGTAACACTGAAAATGAAAGAAAAAGGAGAAAAAATATTGTAGATTTAGCCATGGTGAAAAAATGATGAAAGGACAAAGTGGGAGGATTAGTCTAAATAGAGTTTTTCATGAGAGAATACGCGTGAAGAATGAAGAAATGGTCTTTGGTGTGCAAGTTCCAGTCAAGGTCAGTGTTGCATTTTAATTATGTAGTAGTTATATGAGTCATTATATTACTGTACTAGTTAAGAAGAGTATGTTGATTAGTTAACTTATATTGGCAATTTCGTAACTTATAATACATAAATATGTCCTTTATGGCTTCAACGGGCATAGATGCCCTTCAACTTTGAGTGTACATAAGTAGACAATTAAATTTGTATAAAGTTGAATTGCCACGTATGATGTGTGTGTCTATTTGTTCAACTCTATACAAGTTTAAGTGTCTACTTGTGTGCACCCAAAGTTGAAGAAAATAAATTCCAAACGAAGCCAATTTAAAGAACACGTTTATGTATTATGCCTTTTTTATTTCGTGTAATTATTTAGAATACAAAGTCTTTAACCCAAAGCAAGCACTCACAGTCACCAAAATGAAGAAATAACAAAACAGTACATACATTTTGACAATCTAAAAGACATTCACATCCTCAGCTTCAAAACTCTTGAGAGAAAAGGAGCTTGATACATGGCTAGATGCTATGATGTTCCCTTCACAGACATCAAGGATTTTCAAAGTTTTCTTCACAGGATGGTGCAAGAACATGAAATCGCATTGGCACAAGAACAACACCTCTCCATCCTCCAAAACTTTCAACATAGAAATTATTTCATTGCGCAACCAATCGTTGCTTTCAGGAGAAATGTTTATGACAATCTCTTTAACCCATGAACTAGTAATTCCATATTCTTTCATCACCCACACCTCGAAATAAGTATCTGCATAATTGTCACACACACATAAACAGCGTCCATAAACTCCCAAAGTTCGTAAATTTGGACAATCTTCCTCAGTGTACCCTGGAGCTGTGGGGAATGATTCAAACAACTCATTCTCGAAATCAAACGAACATATTAACTCATTTCCATTAGCATCATAGACCAACCAATGAATCTTTGCATAGAGGTTCACCCCATCTGACATGAAAGAGAACATAACATGTCCTGCATTTCTCCAATACCCTTTGCCAATTGTGTAGACTTGACCTTTAGACTTGTAATAATCATCATAAATTTTCTCTTGGTAAATTCTAACCACTTTGTACTCGAACCTAACAGGATCAAAACCGAAGCCATAAGTGACAATACCATTGGGCCACCCTCTTACCCCTTCAGCCTCTGGAAGGATGATATACTCTCTGGTTCTCGGATTGAGGATGTAAATAGTATCAACACGATCACGATGGGGGAAGTAATTAAAACAAACGAAACCATGAACTGATCCAACCATCCAAAATGGACCAACAGGAAAGTAAAGTTGTAGATCAAGGTCAACATTTGGATCGAGGCAAAATGAATGATCAGTATCTTGATCTTCAAATTTCAAGAACTTTAAGGTATCAGTAATAGAAATCGCATCCAAGCTGTATTGGTTGATTATGATGCCTGCTGGAGATGTTGAACGTGATAGTTTTAAAAATTCGGAATCTAAGGTTAGGTTTAGAAAAGATTTGGAGACGCTTTTGACGTATAAGAGTGTGGTGGGAGGTAATCTAGAGAGAATTTCTAACAAGATTGGAGATGGAAGATCCACCAGTGATGTTGCTTCATCAATACTCATTTCTTACAACTCTTTGGATAATGAAACATGTACCAGAAATGTTGTGTCCAAAATGTTTTTAACAAGTTAGCTAGCTGAATTGTTCAACACTTTGGAAGAATATTCAACATTACGTATGCCATATTCATTGAAAATCAAAAGTCCAAGAAACCTTTCATTTTCAAGATCAAATGTCAAAAGTCTAAAATTTGAGTTATTAGCTATGCTTGCAAACATGACAACTAGAGTAAGGTGCAACAATATTAGAGATTTTGGGTTCTAATTTCTAGTATTTCCAAAAAGATTTACTTTTAAAAATATTTGTTCGTGAAAGTTTGTATATACATTTTTTAGATCTGGATTTACTCGACTATACTTGGTCTAGCAGGCTGTACTAATTTATTTTCATTAAGATTAAGATGTTTGAATGTGAATGCAGATGTTATGATATGAGAAGTCCAATATAGAAGAATAAATAAACGTAGTTGTAGAGGGTCGAAATTGAGTAAAGGAAGGGAGGCTAATTTCGTTTCTTTTAAATTGAGCAGTCGAGATTGAAATCAGTTTAATGAATAGCAAGGGCGAGGATTCAACCACGACATCAGGTCAGTTATCACTGTTATAACCACCCTGGGAGTGTGGGCGTAAATGAAGAAGTAGTATTTTGACATGCTCCTTGTAAGGGAAACATTTGGATGGAAGGATGGATGTCGTTAAATCATCCACGCTGACATGCTCCTTGTAAGGCGAGCACAACCCTGTTACACTGGAGGCCAGTACAAAAATAAGTGAATTTCCACCAGATGTGGTAATTGAAGTGATATGGAACAAACAATAGTGGAAGTTGTGTGCTTATGTGCTTTGTCTGGACACAATAGAGGGGTCAATTCAATATTGGTGAAGGGTACCATAAAGAATAGGAACCTTACTGTGCTTATTGACTTTGGGAGCAACCATAGTTTCATGGATGCTCATACTGTCAAAGGGACTGGTTACCAAGTTAGTTACTGCCCATTGTGAGAGTAACAATAGCAGATGGCAACTATGTGATGTGCAACTCTTCTTGTTTCAGATTCCAATGGAAAATGCAGGCTAGGACATTTCAAGAAGATCTATTTGTAATTCCACTAGGTGGCTATGATCTCGTTTGGATGAAAAAGCACAACCCTACTAAGTTTGACCATGAGATAAATTGTGTAACTGGTGTTGAAGGGCATTTCTGAAGAGGGCAAGCTCAGCATGATCCATGATCAATAGTGGTGCTATGCATAAGTTTCTTAAGAAGGGGAATGCTCTATTTGCCCATCTATTCATGATGAACAGTGCAGCAGATCAGGATCAAGAGTCGGAGGTTATAGTACTACATGTATTAGAATAATTTATTGATGTGTTCTCTGAGCCTAAGTCCTTGCTTCCTATCAGATCTTTAGATCCAGTCCATGAGCTTTCAAGATCAATTGTCAAAAGTCTAGAATTTGACTTATCAGCTATGCTTGCCAACATGACAACTAGAATATGGCAAGGCCCGCGAGGGGCTGGGGTGGCCCGGGTCAGAGCATAATCGAACATGACGCTTGCACGTAGGATGCCGTGTAGAAGACAAATTGTCATGTAGGACGACTGTGTCTATTTGTTCAACTCTATACAAGTTTAAGTGCCTACTTGTGTATACCCAAAGTTAAAGAGCACAAATTCCAGATAAAGCCAAGTTAAATGACACGTTTGTGTATTATACCTTTTTTATTTCATGTAAGTAATTCGAATACAGAGTCTTTAATCCAAAGCAGGCACTCGAGTCACCAAAATGAAGAAATAACAAAACAGTATACTCTAGCACAATACATGCATTTTGACAATCTAAAAGACATTCACAACCTCTCCTTCAAAATTCTTGAGAGAAAAGGAGCTTGATACATGGCTAGAAGCTAAGATATTCCCTGCACAGACATCAAGCTTTTTCAAAGTTTTCTTCACAGGATGGTGCAAGAACAAGAAGTCGTCACGCCACAAGAACAACACCTCTCCATCATCCAAAACTTTCAACATATAAATCATTTCATTGCCCAACCAATCGTTGCATTCAGGAGAAATGTTTATGACAATCTCTTTAACCCATGAGCTTGTAATTCCATATTCTTTCATCACCCATACCTCAAAATGAGTATCTACATAATTGTCACACACACATAGACAATGTCCAAAGACTCCCAAACTTCGCGAATACCAATACCTTTTCTTATTGCGCCCTGGAGCCGTGGGGAATGATTCAAACAACTCATTCTCCAAATCAAACGAACATATTGACTCATTTCCTTTAGCATCATAAACCAACCAATGAATCTTCGCGTAGAGGTTCACCCCATATGGCATGAAAGAAAACATAACATGTCCTGCATTTCTCCAATACCCTCTGCCAATTGTGTAAACTTGACATTTAGACTTGTAATAACTAGTATTATCATCATAAATTTCTTCTTGGTAAATTCTAACCACTTTGTACTCGAACCTAACAGGATCGAAACCAAAGCTATGCATGACATCATTGGGCCACTCTCTTATCCCTCCAGCCTCTGGAAGGATGATATACTCCCTGGTTCTTGGGTTGAGGATGTAAATAGTTTCAACATAATCAGGGAAGTAATTAAAACAAACGAAACCATGAACCGATCCAACCATCCAAAATGGATCAATAGGAAAGTAATGTTGTAGATCAAGGTCAAGTTTTGGATCATGACAATATGAATGAGTATCCTCATCTTCAAATTTCAAGAACTTAATGGTGTCGGTACTAGAAGGCTCATCAGAGCTGAATTGGTTGATGATGATGCTGGCTGGAGATGTTAAACATGATAGTTTTAAAAATTCGGAATCTAAGGTTAGGTTTAGAAAAGATTTGGAGACGCTTTTGAAGTATAAGAGTGTGGTGGGAGGTAATCTAGAGATAATTTCAAACAAGATTGGAGATGGAAGATCCACCAGTGATGTTGCTTCATCAATACTCATTTCTTACAACTCTTTGGATAATGAAACATGTACCAGAAATGTTGTGTCCAAAATGTTTTTAACAAGTTAGCTAGCTGAATTGTTCAACACTTTGGAAGAATATTCAACATTACGTATGCCATATTTATTGAATTGAATTTTCAACCTTTCGCTTTCAAGATCAATGGTCAAAAGTCTAGAATTTGAGTTATCAGCTTTGCTTGCCAACATGACTTGGTCTTGCAGGCTTACTGTCCCTAAGGACCAATGCTAATAACTTGGTTAGAATAATTGGGAATACATGTTTTTTCTTGTCCTAATTTAGAGATATTTACTTTATGTAGTGTAATGCCAACATCCTGCCTATGGAAAGGCCCATGAAGGGTCGGGTTGGCCTGAATCAGAGTCATAATCAAACATGACGCCTACTTAGTGGGCTTGATTAAGAAATAAAGTTGCGACTTTGCTATCAGCTGTAGGTTTTTGCATAACCAAATTACTTTTAATTCAAAGCAAAGAATTGCAGTTGACATGAGTAAATATATAAAACAGAATGGTAACAATATACTATAGAAGTACGATACACACCTTTTTGACAATAATCTAAAAGACATTCACAACCTCTACTTCAAAATTCTTGAGAGATAAGGAGCTTGATACATGCCCACATGCCAACAAGTTCCCTTCACAGACATCAAGCATTTTCAAAGTTTTCTTCACAGGATGGTGCAAGAACAAGAAATCGTCACGCCACAAGAACAACACTTGTCCATCCTCCAAAACTTTCAACAGATTAATCATTTCATAGGACAACCAATCGTTGTATTCAGGAGCATTGTTTATGACAATCTGTTTAACCCATGAATCAGTAACTCCATATTCTTTCATCACCCATACCTCAAAATGAGTATCTGCATTATTATCACATACACATAAACAACGTCCAAACACTCCCAAACTTCGTAAATTTGGACAATTTTCCTTACTGTACCCTGGAGCAGCAGTTGGGAATGATTCAAACAACTCATTCTCCAAATTAAACGAACACATTAACTCATTTCCATTAGCATCAGAAACCAACCAATGAATCTTTCCATATAGATTCACCCCATATGCCCTGCATCCAAAACAGAACATGACATGTTCTACACTACTTCTCCAATACCCTAATTTCCCAATTGTGTAAACTTGAGCTTCAGACTTGTAATAACGAAAACCATTAGTATCGCGAATTTCCTCTTGATAAATTCTAACCACTTTGTAGTCGAACCTAACAGGATCGAAAGCAAAGCCATAAGTAACTAAATTAGGCCACTTTCTTACACGTTGTGGCTGAGGAAGGATGATATATTCTCTGGTTGTTGGATTGAGGATGTAAATACTATCAACATCACCGAAAAAGTGATTAAAACAAACGAAACCATGGACCGATCCAACTAGGAAAACTGGATCAACAGGAAAGTAAAGTTGCAGATCAAGGTCAACAATTGGATCATGATCAAAGTTGTTATCGACTACGAATTTCAAAAACGTTAAGGTGTTGGTCCTATTAGAGTGGAATTGGTGGATGATGATGCTGGCTGGAGATGCTGAACGTGACAGTTTTGTAAATTCGGAATCTAAGGTTAGATTTAGAAAAGATTTGGAGACGGTTTTGACGTATAGGAGTGTGGTAGGAGGTAATGTAGAGAGAATTTGTAACAAGATTGGAGATGGAAGATCCATCAGGGATGTTGCTTTACTTCACTCATTTCTTACAAAAAGTCTTAGCGCTGATATTTTGCTATTTATAGCAAGTGGCTCGGTGAGTTTGATCATAAAAATTATTCATATTTCAACTCTATCTTCTATATTTAAGTATAATATTCAAACAGTTTTCCGGTCAAACTTGCACAACACGCATTCAGTATTAAAGGTAAACAAACAGTTATATTGTGGCAACATGACAAGAGTAAAGCGCAAGCATATTTGAAATAAAAAGACTATTATATATTGTCTTTAATTTGACTATCGATTAAATAAAAAGAGAATGTTATCAACTTATTTGCAAGCAAAGTTCATTTATTAATTTCCAATTACCTTAAGTTTCCATCAAGAGTACGTTCAGTGGGTCTCATGTGTATACGTTCAGGTAAGGGAATGCACCAAGCTCAAAAAAAGGATCTTTAGCCCCATTTCTTGTTGTTTTTCTGAGTTCTATCGATTATTTTCAATCTCGTTTCATTCTCTTATTAATTTGATCTAAATATCATGTCTACGTCCTTTACCTTTCCAAAAAATGCCTTTGTTCTACATTATTAATGGTAGAATAAAATATATCTCGATTGAACTAATATATTCAATTTTAATATGATTTTTATTAACGAAAAAGTATGTGATTACATAATTTTTATTCTTTTTATATATATATATACTAGATTCACTGCACGTGCGTTGCACGTGTAGGCTAAGTCCTGAGATCCCTATACACGAGATATTTTATCTTTTAATGTATATTTTAGGTTTTCAACATATCAATATATATTTAATATTGCACTACGTCATACTAAGTGAATGGC